AAATGTATCACAAGTTTACCTTTAAAATATCGACCAGCACCTCCAAAAACTGAAGTTTCACTTCGATAAATCTGACGAGTGAACCAGCCATATTAAGATAAATTTCGAATTCCAATTTTCAGAAAGTGTTCATTTAATATCCACATCAAATGGCAAAGAAAATTAGTTAATAAATAACACGTATTTGCGCTAACTTGATCACTAGTTAATTAATATGCATAAATTCAGCGTAAAACAGTTTAACTGGTAACATAGGTCAATGATTACCTAATGTCTTAGTAGTTGTAAAGTTACTAGATAAAAAAGCATGTAGGTCACTTAGCACACACACATACACACATACATATACAAATACATGTACAGACATATGCAAGTAGTCAAAAAAGAGTTAGCCTCTCAAGTATTATTAATGTAATCATTGATTCATTACAATTCCCTTACCATGCTGTTATATATACCTCAATCTTTATGAATCCAAGATGAATTCGACGGTACTAAGTAGGTCAGCATGGTCAGTTATAAACATCTCACACGCAGACATACACATACTGAATGTGTTGAGATAGCATTTCGACCTTTTTGTTAGTCACGTAAATAAATAAAACCATACAAAGTTGTGTCATCCTTATACTACTGATAAATTGAACTGAGTAGTCTTAGACTAAATATGAAAAACAGTACAATTACAGACAGCGGCACAGACTAGGTCGTCTAGGCCAGGATCAGGAAGACAAGACTGCGTTCATTAACCTGAAACCAGTGTGGAGATCTGCTTCACTGCACTCAACGTAAGGTGTAAACAACATCCAGATTTTCGACACGTGTCAAGTCAGTGCTTCTATGTGATGGTTGAGAGAGTTGGCATGTTACGAAAGGGATTTCCAACAAATTACAGATATTCATCAACAACTACCGCCTATGCTGACTCGATAGTGAAGATGGAGATCAGATGGCGAGAATAATAAGAATAAGCAATAAGGAACTCTGGCTGGCTGGCAACGAACCAACGAAGCAAGAAGTTATTGCTGAAGAAATATGCAGTGGAAGTGAGTGGAGATGGATTGGATTGGACCAGGGAAAAGAACCTAGAAGATCTGGATTTCGCAGATGACTTTTATCTGATGTCACACAAACTCGAAGATCTACAGGCGAAAACTAACAAGTTGACAGAAGAGGCAGGGCAGAGAAGGAAGACGAGACTTCAAGTGAACGTAGAGCACATAGAGGTGATGAAGATACTCAACCACCGCCAACAACAACAAGTTCCAATCACCATCAATGGGAGAAACTTAAAGGAAGTAACCTCCTTCACCTACCTAGGCAGCACTGTTTCAACTACAGGCAGCGACACAGACGAGGACGTCAAGGCCAGGATTGGAAAAGCAAGACAGGCGTTCATTAACCTGAAACCAGTGTGGAGATCTACTGCACTGCACTCAGCACACACCGTGAACAACATCTAGACTTTCAACACCAATTCACTCAAGTCACTGCTTCTGTGTGATGGTTGAGAGACTCGGCACGTTACGAAAGGCGTTTACAACAAACTACAGATATTCATCAACAACTGCCACCTATGCTGACTCGATATTGAAGATGGATATCAGATGGCGAGAATAATAAGAATAAGCAACAAGGAACTCTGACTGACTGGTGACGAAGCAACGAAGCAGGAAGCTATTGTTGAAGAAATATGCAGTGGAAGGGAGTGGAGATGGATTGGATTGGATTGGGCATACACTGAGAAGGTCAACTGTGGACATCACGTACCAGGCCAGTTGCTGGAGTGGCACCCAGATGGGAAATGATGAGTTGGATGTTCAAGTTGAGAGTGACATGGAGGAGATGGTGTGAGGAGGAAATGAGAGCTTGTGGACTGTCGTGGAGCCAGGTTGAAAAGATTGTAGAGAAGAGAGTGTAATGGAGACGTGCTAGTGAAACCCTATGTTCTATTAGGAATCCAAGGGACAAATAATAGTAATAATACATGCGCTGTTTACTGATGAAGCAGTGAGCTTCCATCACTCAGACTACTTAATTATGACAAGTATACCACTATCAAATCTATCAGTAGTTAAGATCTGGATATGTTGGTTTTTAGATTTCATTAGTCAGTACAGTACATGAGTTGATTATTTGCTTTACTTACTTCGATTTCAGTTTATTACCTCTGTATGCAGAAACGTTCATATGAACTAGGCTTCATCAGCTGATTTGTATGAAATAATGTGTGATAAATTAGATGAGTAATATAGATGATTATGTATTACAAGCCTCTAACTTTGACAAGGCTATTCTCATTAATCAGGAAAACATCTGCATAAAAAACAACCTCAGTTTATTTTTCGTTGATTTTGAAGCTCAATTGTAGAAGTGATGAGTAAATTTAGGATTTTGTAAATAACTTTCGTTATTGGTTGAGAGATTTGTGCGGATTTGACTGATTTCACATTGATATTCATTACGTAATGACATTAGTTGGAGAGCCATTCAAAAACCTAGGAGCATTGGACAGCTATTTCATCTTGGGATAGGACTCCTCAGCAGGGATTGGACTAGATCAAATTGTTAGATATACTTGTCAGAAAGTGATGAAAAGCTGCCTCCAACTCGATGACAACTTTGTCAAATGAGGAACTATTTTGAGACCTAATCGAAGATGGTTTTATGATTAAAAATTTAGAGGGAACTCACGCTAACTATTTCAAAATTGATACCACATAAAGTTATCAACAAATGATTTTACCTATTGAATGGATATTTACCAGGTAGTCTATACTTTCGCATACGCCACAAAGTTTCCAGTGTGGACTAGTATCCTATTTTTATTTGACTTCGCTAAAGATATCCTCGTAATGCAAGCAGTTACAAGAAATTTGAGTTGTTGAAAGCTTACTATGCGCAATGCTTATTCTATACATAGATGTACAGGGGGCGTTCTGGATTCCGCTGATAGCCATCACCAAGCAAGTAACTTCAATATTGTGACATCTGTTCAAGGAATCCATATACCAGGTGAAACCAATCAACTCTATCTGGTATATTAATCACTAGGAAATTAGAAGCATCAATAAATATGAAATGATATCCGATCTAGAATAGAAGGTTCTTGTGACTTAGTAGCCTCTAGGATAATGTTTTTTGGGATCTGAAGTTATGGGTACTTGGTTTGACTCTCATTGGTCACAACATCAGTCATTGGGATTCAGGTACGTCCAGCTGATGAGTGAGGATTGACACGAAACGCATACATCCTGGATTCCATTGTTAGCCTCCTTCAAGCAAATAGTATCATATTCTAACACGCACGAGATCAATACACTCAAAATGAGTGAAAGCGAGACATCTGAACATCATCTTCATCATCATCATAGTGATCAAAATCAACATAAGACCAGGCATAACTACATAACAGTCCAAGTTGCCATACCTCATATCAGTACATCAAGTAACAAAGTGATGAGATGAAAAGTGGAGGAAGAAAGAGGAAGCGGTGGAAAGCAGTGAAAGAGAGTGAGGAGGAATGAGAAAATGCCGAATTCAGTAAGACGATTAAGAATAGGTGAATGTTTGGAGACATCTGCGCCGTTGACAGTGATTATGAGCCATACCATCTAGAGTTCCCAACCGCCAGTGGTTTCTCTTCTCTACAGGACCCCAACCGGCTAGTTTGCATTGCCCCACATGGCTCAAACCAACAGTTATCCACCTCATGGATTCGTGCCATGTTTTAGTTTGGCTCTCATGAGACTTTTCCAGTTTGAACCTACTTCAGTTAACATTGTGTCGTGAGGCAGACGGTTGTTAGGCTTACGCAACTCATGTCTCAATTGTCTTAGTTGATGAAGGTTCACAACCACATGAACTGACTTACGCTCTCCCTCCTAAAACTCTACGTCTAACTTCTTCGTTACTGATTAAGTCTCCAGCTCTGCGTACAGTCCCTTGTTTTGTTGCAGTCATAATCTTGCCTGGCTTTCTTTATTGTTTTAGTATTTATCCTACGCTTATTATTGTTTGGATGACACACGGGGTGATGACGTTACCTGTTTCCAACTTAGCTCAATTTCAGCTGAGTCGAGAACAGCTGGTTGAGTAACTGGCGCCATCACAATGGAAGAACGATTAGTTATGGCGGACTCATATGGCAGCCAGACAAAACCCTTTGATGACTGAAGTGAAATCAAGATCTGGTTAGTAGCTGCACCGGACCGGTGATGAGAAAACCGCCTATTCGAATTCTGCTACAACCTAGATTTTTATTTCACTTTCAGTTATCCCCACAGGTTCAATAATCCAAATCTGAATGGGTTAACTTCCTACGTCCACAATTTATCAGCTCAAATTTCCCATTTTACTTTGGTTTTTAATGTCTCCGGGATAATTAGAAGTCTTTAGCATGATTGGTAGCCTAATTTGTCCTGTAGACCCCATGATTTCTCAATCCCATCATCATTTTAGAAGTAATTTGCATTTTCCCCTTGGAACATTCGTATATGATCACTCCGATGTTAGCCTATTGACCTGTGATAAATAAATTTAGTTGCTTATTGCCACTATAGTCACGATTATGTAAGTACAGAAGTCGATTTGTTGACAAGCAGTTGAAAGGGAGGTGGATTCCATCTGAATATCTTGGGGGGGGGGGATAGTAGCACTATATCATGAATTGACAAAAGTTGAAAACTGAACCACTGAGAATCAATCCAGTGGCTGAATGGTCTACGCGTTTGTTTGATATCTGAATGTCCTGAGTTCGACCCCTAGGGGGGGGTTATGAGTGCATACTGCTGAGTTATATACTAGGACGAAACAGCTGTCCAGAGCTTCTAAGTTGTTAATAGTTCCCCAACTGAATACTATGTTTAAATTGAAATCCCCATTCATTTCTTCACTAAATTAACCTTAATCTTAATCGTTATATACCTTGATTACATTAAATCTTGAAGTGTTTATGATCATTTCAAAGCCTTCATTGTTATCTATCTTGACAATGATAGGTTTTTCATTCAATCAAAAAAAAATTCAATCCTATTGGAAGTAAATCCATTTCAAATGAACCGATACAGTAATGATCAATCACAGTCAAGTATTTCCAACTCATTAACATCATTGGTTCAATGGTCAAAATATCATTTCATTGAATTTTTACCTGATCGAAAATTCCATGATACTAGAGTCTACTGTCAAATATCGATAAAACAGAGTAGACAGATGGAAAACAATAAAAATTCCTTAGTAATATCACCTGAATCATTTCTGTTATCTAACGAGAGATATCAAAAGGATATTCAAGTGGTTTCCTCTAAAGGTTATATTGATTTAGCTGTATACTGTAAGTTGAAAAGAAAAAAAACTCTGTTAAAACTCTTTTTGTCTATAATTGACTTGATTATAGCTAGCAGTAGGATTTAAGACTCACATTTCGTCCTATTCGGGTCTCGTCAGTCGAATGTACACTAATGTAATCAATGTAGATAGTTTTAAGTAGGTAATATGATGAATCGATGAGAATCACTGGTTTTTAACTTCTGTAAGGCATCTTAATCACCTTGTATCATATTATTAAGCTTTTGAATAAGTAGAATAGATTATCTTCATAAAACTTCAAATAGTTAGCTCATTGAATAAATATTATAACAAAAACAATAAGAAGAAAATGTAGTTTATCTGTAAAGTATGTTTAGTTCATTGGTACAATACATTTCAAGGAATCTAGTCGTGCACATGTACTCCGATATACACACTTACACGTTATGTATACTTATATTCAAGGATGAACAATTCCACTTGACCGATACTATTACCATGGGAAGTTATTTAGGTCCATTACTGTAAGTAATATATCAAGAGGTTTGTTGAAAAGTGCACTGTAGACAATTTCTTATACTAAAAAGAATGATATCATCATTATATATATGGTAAACCGGATAAGATTCATTCAATTCTTAATCGAATGAATGAAGCTCATAGTGTAATATATCCATAACATGTTAGGAAGAAAGAAATGCCTACCTATCCTTCTAAGATGTTCTCACAACTCCCTTACAAGATGGATTGACAAAATGATCTATTTATAAGAAATGTATATGATCAGGAAAGTACCTAAATCATCATAGTTGCTGTACACATCCAACATAAACAGTGATTAGTCAACTATCTGTTCAATCAGTATCAAGGAATATGCAAAAATGACACTTTAAAGAATGTGACACAAGAGCTTATCAAAAAAAGTGTTACTAGATAACAATTATCCCCTGAAATGTATTGGTTGTAAAAGAAATCCTACACAATAAAGATTCAAAGAAAGGTGTTTATATTACGCTATCATATATGCATGATTCATAAAGTCTGACATTTAAACAAAGGCTTAAAGTGGTCATCTAGAGAACATACTATGCAGTAAAGGTCATTATCATAAAGAAAATGGAATGTATGTTCTTCTCTGAACCCTCATAGCCTCTAAACAATAAGATCACATGAGATTTCACTTATCAGTTCACATGAACATGTAGTCACACAAACATTGAGAAGATTCTATGATCTATGCAAGTAAAGTTCACATTGTATATTCCTAAATGTCTGCAAAAAGAACTCAATTCAGGTGATCTTATCGACTTCGTCTAAATTCAAAGATGTCCTGGAAGCTGGTTACAAGGTTAATTCGCACTGATATGCATCTTTCTAACCTATTTGTTAAACCAATTGGAGACGCATACCTAGGTTTCTTGAAGCTCTGGCTATAAAGAAGCTTAGACCTGTGTAATGTATTCAAAAACAATTCGTTCCTACATTCCACCCTACCTTCATGACTCACATTTAATATCAAGGGTGAATAATGAGATATATTATATCTTTATCCATCACTATCAACATCATCATCATCAGGATTAACATAGGACCAGACATTACTGTGAAACCGTCCAACGTGTCAGCCATACCTCAGATCACCACATCATGTAACAAGTCAATAAAATGAAAGATGAAGAAGGAAAGGAGAATTTGTCAAAGGAAGTAGAAGGTAGGAGAAGAGAGTATATACAGTTCACGCGTGTGGGAATCTTCATCGACTGAGATGGCTGACTCCGACATGTGCTACGTATGCCTAGTCGCCGTCTGCCTCGTCACATAATGTTGACCGAAATAGGTCCAGGCTGGAAAAAGACCCGAGGTGGCCACACTAAAACATGGCACCAATATATGAAGCGTTTGACTGTTGGTTTGAGCCATGTGGGGCGATGCAGACTAGTCGGTTGGTAGGGGAAGTCATTTGTTTCAGAAGAGTCATCATTACGGATCAACATTAAAGAGAGAACCGTTGAGAAACTGTGAATTATCCTTTAAAGTCAACAAAGAAAGGCACATCAACTCAGAATCTGGTACACGAATGCATTACTTGAGGTTGCCATATTTCAAACCAATAGCATACAAACAAGTGGAACCGAAAAATAATGACAACAAAGTAATAAAAAAAGTGTATGGGAAGACAGCGAATACATAAATAAAGCTTATTGAAAATGTTCAGTGACAAGGAATGCATACAACTCCACTCTTGTGACTGATTGTAAGGTATATCATCAACAGTCACCAACCGTTTATTTTTTCATCTTGAGGACCTCAAACAAACAGCCTACATCTCCCTATATCACTCAAGCGAACTACATCTTGCTTTTAACACACCTAGCCATCTTCCAACCTAATCTTATTATAATTAACATCGTACATCGAGGTAAGTTAACAAGCACAACATATATCCAAGCCACATCAGTCTGTATTGAATTATAACTTCATCGACTGATTCAATATTGCTCAGACGGTGATTCCATCAAATTTGAGATGTGATGCAGCGATATATTTTTGTTGAACTACTTTCAACAACTATGTCTTGCGGCTATATAACAGGACAGAAAGAAGCACAGCTCAGTAGTCGGATATCTTGGCAATCTCAGTGGTTAAACAAGTTGGTAAATCAATTCAAGCTGAAATTTCATCAGGATATCCTTAGACTGGGAGTAATTGCAGACCAGTGCTAAAGCATCCTCTCACACTTTACAAGTGTAAAACATATACCAGATATGCTCAGGTTTCTGCTCAATGCATTTACAATAGCCCGGAATGTTATCAGCATGACAATATCGTCCGCGTATTTCAAGTTAAACAGCTGCTCTCCTGATAGTACTAAAAATATTCTGATTTCATCGTAGTCTGTTTATTATCAGAAATGTCACACACAGTGAAGAAACACTATCAGTTTTATTGGATAACGACGTTTCGACGTTTATATAGTCCCTAATTCTCTCTTCTTTTCTTGTGATGATGAGCAAAGGTAGTGAAATTTTCCCACATATCTCGGACACGTGAGGAATCATCTCTATTACTGTATGATGCATTCAGTGTATGTTGATTCGATGAACAAAGATTCAGTCGGTTATCAATCTCTCCCTATCTACACCCAACGAAGTTAGTTTTCAACACTGTCACCCCATCCCACCCTACTGTGTGATTGTGTATCATCACATGCAGAGCTATAACCGAGCTTTTCTCTAAATCGACTCTGACTGGTCGACTACTTTGACCTCACAATTATTGCAAGGGATTTGGTGAAGTAGATTACTTTGCTCAATAGCATCGATAGAATCTTTTAAGCCATAAAGCTTGTTTCTCTCAAAGAGTTTGTTACTTTAACTGCCAGCCAGTTTAATCTCAACCAGCTTTATTGAGAATTATTCGTAACGTCCCACTGTGTTACCATACAAGAAAGGCATATCAGAAGCACTACGAATAATTCTCAATAAGTCTGGTTGAGATTAAAGCGTCTGACAGTTAAACTAACAAACTCTTTGAGAGAAACAAGCTTTATGGCTTAAAAGATTCTATCGATGCTATTGAGCAAAGTAATCTACTTCACCAAATCCCTTTCAATAATTGTGAGGTCAAAGTAGTCGACCAGTCAGAGTCGATTTAGAGAAAAGCTCGGTTATAGCTCTGCATGTGATGATACACAATCACACAGTAGGGTGGGATGGGGTGACAGTGTTGAAAACTAACTTCGTTGGGTGTAGATAGGGAGAGATTGATAACCGACTGAATCTTTGTTCATCGAATCAACATACACTGAATGCATCATACAGTAACAGAGATGATTCCTCACGTGTCCGAGATATGTGGGAAAATTTCACTACCTTTGCTCATCATCACAAGAAAAGAAGAGAGAATTAGGGACTATATAAACGTCGAAACGTCGTTATCTAATAAATTGATACTGTTCCTTTACTGTGTGTGACATTTCTAATAATAAACAGATTAAAATGGAATTACAATTTGTCACAGTTCCCATGTTTTACTCTCATTTTACAGACCAGTGTTGGTGCCTTTTAAGTATTAATGTTTTTCAGTAGCATAGCTAAAGTGTGGTACTAACCACCCTTTTCAATCTTAACTGGATGGTTCTCATCGTGAACCCTATTGACATCACATTTGGATACTTAAAACAAAGCTGCCCAACTATGAGAAATTCCAACACAGATTGAGCAATTTTTAATTACTATGTGAATTGATCACTAAAAAGTATGGAATTCATGATCAAATGCAGATGACCTTGTCTAACCATATCCAGTTGACTGCAAGTTAAATCCCCGAATCTAGACAAGAAAGTTTCAGGATGTTCATCACCCACTTGCTTGATGATTATAGAATGGTAATAAATCGATTTCGTCTCCAGTTCCAATAATTTTATTCATTTTTTTTATGTTGTAGATGGACCGCAGATTAAGAATCCTGAAGATCAGTTCTTCCTCGTCTATCCCTGTACCGGGTCAGATCACGAATTAAGGAATTCTTGTTCTAGTGGATTACGGAAACAAAACATAACATTATGGGTAAGTCAGAAAGGCGAAGTGATGTATATTTCCACTGTTGGATTTCATTGAATATGCTTATTTATGTACGAGGATCTGTAGAAGTTGACTGAGTGTCTCAGTCTGTACACGATTTTCCTCCTGGACAGTGTTCTGATGGAGATCATTAGTTTTCTCTGGGGTGGTGGTTTCGTTTATGGTCTGACGCATTCCAATAGTGGATTTTAGGATAGAACACAAACTGTAGACAGGATCTGGCAATTCTCTGCGCTACAACTGGATAACTGAACGACAACTTGTTCACTACAAGACCTGAAAATCCTGAAGTAAATCCTTCATGAGGTGTGGCCTCACACTGCTGAAGATTCACCAACTAGAATGAAATACCTGTGCAGCATTCGTAGGTCTACAATGGATCACGAATTGATGTCAGTCCTCTGAAAGCAACCAGTTCCTTATAAATCACCAAATGAAGTCACCATGGGTTTAATTATCGTGGTGGGAACTTTCTGACTACGTTTTGTATGCCCTGTTAGTTGTTTCACTGATGAAGATAATGTTTCTCATAGATGTAGCCTTAAGTACCAGTTCAAGTGCTAATTTCAGTCCACTTTCACAAGTGATCACAGCCAGTATTCACGGAGACAAAGTCTGGTGACAATAAGGAGGGAGACAGACTTATTTTATTCCGCTGTTGTTTTGTTTTTCGGTCGATTACAATTCGACTTCGTTTAGCCAACAAAGTAGTCTAATTCAATTTTCTGTTCACTACTTTGCTTTTATCCAGGCTGGACGCAGTTCTGCTATGCTAGACACTGAAGTCGTCTGTGTTCTGTTCATTGTCAATATCTACGCTTCAAGTTGCATTTACTTTCCTCATCTTCTCTCAATCTAATTGGTAACCATTACATTGGTTTATGAAATGGGTACTAAAAGTGATATGTCCCCCACTTAATGGGGTTAACTAAAGTATTGTTTCTAGATTTGAACATAAGGCATTCAACGGATAGTAACCCTTTTTCAGGTCTGAAACTTCGTGCCGATTGCCTCTAGCCATCTGAAATTGATCAAAGTGAACCATAGCAGTGAGTTGCCTAGAAGTCAGTCAACACATACGACTAAATGACATGAAGTTAGTTACCGTCTAATGATCAATCGGAGCATATAAGCCAGTCCTACAGCCGCAGAGGATATCACTTCCTCTGGTGTTGCAAATATGCCTTATTAACAGGTACCAGATAAGAAGCAAACTTGGGTCCAGGATTTCCTGCCGATTACCTCCAACCAACAATTAACTTTTATGTCCAGAATTTTCTCTGAAAATTGGGTCTCTTATTCACAGTTATCATTAATCGGGTATGCAAACAGCTGATATATTAACTGGATGAGGTGAAATCTTGGGGATGTAGTGGGTGCTGCTGATCACAATGAATATAAGTAGTATATGTTGAGAGGGCGACAGAAATCATAGGCAATTACCAGCAGTGGGTAAAGATTCTGCCCACAGAAATGCAAGGGACAAGGTGGGCGTATTAAGGGCAAACAGAGACAGAAGCAAAAGGGGGAAATGAAGCATACTGTGCAAATGTCTGTTTTAGTGGAAGGTGTACAATATTTCATCACTACTGTACTAGATATCAATAATAATCATTGCTTCCTCTGTCTTTGTCTTGTCGTACCCTACAACTGGTATCGCTGCTTCTGGACGTGATGGAGATTCTATGGCCTATAGTATTCCAGGATGGAGACATCTAGGTCTTTCTCGAGGGCTTTGAGTCGATCATGGAGCTAGTGAGTGTCCGGGATCCAGAAGCGAAGATCGTGTTGCTTGGTACGTTGCTGAGGGGTAGGACGAAAGCGACATATAATGGCTTGGAACCCATGGATGGAAAGGAGATTTGGGAGAGAATGGTTTGACGTCTGAAGGCAGAGTCTGATAGCTCAATGAACAAGGAGCTTGCGATGCAGCAGTTCCGGAGCACGAAATTTGGAACAGACGAAGATAGGGTAGTATCGGCTATGATAAAAGCTTCCCACTATGGACGAGGACTCTGAAGCACAGTTGCTAGCTGCACAGTTCACCGAAAGTGTCCTGAATGCCATCACCTACTACTGGGATACCGAAATTATGAGTGATGAACAACTGCCTAGTTTTCTGCTCTCATACCTCTTAGTTAATATTAAGAAGAAAATTTGAGTAAAGTATTTGTTAAATGCCATGTAAGGCAGGTTAAATCTCTTGCTAATTTACATGAAATGTCCTTAAGGAATGAGTTGGTAAATAACACCAAGATATATGTGAATCGTTCTCCGGTTTGCACATTAGACGTTCAGCTACATCTGTGATGTGATAGCTTGTAGTAACAGGGTTCAAACCCGTAACCCATTGTTTCAAAGTCGACTGCTAAGATCGACTAGCCACAGCTCTACTAACAAACATGAAAACCTCGGGATAACTACGAGAAAGAATGAAAAATTCAATTAAAAATGATTTTATTTGGAGTGCGGAAAATAGTTATTCAGAGTCTGAAACACTAGTAATCCACAGGTATAGTCAACCAGTAAGTGGAGAAGCGTCAGGCTATCACTCACTGTCCAGTTTTTTCAAGCCTATAGCCTTTAATCTGGGGGTAAAACCTGACCATTTTGGTAGAATTCAGTCCCATTTTAGTTGATTTATTGGATATATAACACAGCGAAGGAATAGTATTACTCATTCGATCACTTTCCAGACACAAATTATTGTCCATAGTCCCAATCAAGATAACTGTACAGCTTTATATAGTCGTAATTTCAAAACCTCCTTTAAGATATAGGTAGTAGGACTTTTCATGTATCCAGAACAGGCGCTGAGTCATTTCTGTGGCGAGTATTAGGTGTTGATTCGATAAACAAAGATTCACTTATCAATCTCTCCCCTACACACATTACTTTGTCCCACCCTATTGTATGGTTGTGTGTAATCGCACGAGTGGCTATGCCTGAGCTATGTCCTAAATTCCTAATCTTACTGGGATCTACCAATTTTGATCTGACTACGTTTTTGTGCTTGGATAGTCGTCTAATTATCCGACCTTAGTCGACTACTTCTACTATATATATTTAACATCTTAGTTGTTGCGAGGGATTTCGTAAACTAAGTTGTACTACTTCATTGGATGAAGTCCATCCTTTAGCTTAAAAAGCTTATTTCTAAGTGAGTTTGTAGGTTTAAATGTCAATCTAATACCAGGCAGCCTTATTGAGAATTTTATGTGGTGTTTCTGAGGTACCTTCTTTGTACGGTCGTATGACTGTAGAGGTTTTCAATTCTCTCTTCACAGTATTGTCACTCTTCTTAGTATTACTACCACTATCAACATCTGTGTTACTAATATTAGTCACATTTTTCTGACTATTCCTAAGAAACTTATCAGTTAATTTCAGAGGTTAGTTGTTGATAAGTAAGGTATCTTTAATGTATCTGATCTCTTGTCTTAAATCTTCTGTTTTACTGGTAAGTCTCTCAGCCCTGTTACTTTGACACCTTAATAAACCAGCTTTAATTGACATAGGATAAGAAGACTTGTAGACCCTGGTGTGTAAACTTCCATCTTATTTCCCTTCTATTCTGTAATCCAACATCACTAATCCCCCTTCACTATTTTCTAATTCATAGGTGAAAGTGGATTGTATTGACTACTGAATTTATACCTATGTGTGAAGAAACTGTATATATGATTCGATTATAACACTGTGGAATGTGTCATCAACATATCGAAACCATATTTTTCCAGGTGGAATAAATGTTTTGACAACCATATTGTTGCCAACTATGCATAAATATGTCAGCCAAAATAGGGGATATCGGTGATATCATGGCAACTCCTTCTGTTTGTTTGTATATTCTATTCTGAAGTCTGAATATTGTGGAGGTTAAGCATAGTTGTACTCCTAACCTATTCTCTTCTGCTGGTACCTTAGTTCGTTGTTATCCAAGTGCATGTCATCTAATCTATACTTCAAGTCATAAAAGTTAGTACCATTGTTAAGTATTTAGCCAAATCATGAGTAGAAGTATTTCTAAAGTCTACTATGGGTCTAATAGGATAAACTGGCTTATGAATTGTCTAATAGTCCCATAAATCCCAGTGGGACTATTCGTTTAGGACATTAAAGTGAACCGTTTCGAGTCACCTAGAAACAGCTTCACTAGGCATAACAGTGTTCATTACATTCTCAATTTTTCGAATGTTCCTCGATTTTTTCAACATAGAATTTTGAGGGAGTTGTCGAGATTTGGAAATATTTCAAGTTGTTATTCATCGTAGATTGACATCAGTTAGAGGAACTAAAAAGACTTGGGAACACTGGACAGCTGTTTCGTCCTAGTATGGGACTCCTATACAGTGCAGTTGGAGAGATATTCCCAAAGTTCCAATGAGAAGTGGTGACCGGTGGGCGCAAAGCCTGATGGTCATGAGGACAGTTACTCAACGTTGATATTGGTGGCGGTTGCGCTATATCGTGAGGTAACAGAAGTTGGAAATATGGACCGTTGGATTCTAACCCAGTGGCTCAATGGTAAGGTGGTGACCAGGGAGCCTGAAGATGGCAGGTTCGATCCCTGTCGAGGTGGGTGCGTGGGTGCCCACTGCTGAGGAGTCCCATACTAGGACAAAACAGCTATCCAGTACTCCCAGGTTTTCACTGTTCCTTCAACTGATGTCAGTCTGCGACGAATAACAACTTGAAATTTTTCAACATAATCAGACGTCTTGAAAACTACTGTCGAGTTGCGTTAGACTAGACTTAGTTGTATTTTATTGTTGTTGTTTTTTTCTTCAAATTAGTGCCAAACAGATTTTAATCCACCCGGTCAAGTTAAATGGTTTCAATGGCGTCTAAATGACTCATTATTGTATATAACAAATGGACAAAGTTTTCAACTGAATACAGAACAATTACAGACTATATTGAATCCTGTTGAAATTAATTCTAATAATTTATGGATTATTGATAAATATTTTATGGAAAATGTTTCTTCTTATGATAAACAGTTTACTACAAGTGAATACTTTCATCTAAAGTTTTGGAAGTTTACATGTAGTGCTGTTAATTCAATAGGATTTTATAATCATTCAGCAAATCGATTCATCATACAAGCAGGTAAGAAGATATTTCATGAAGATTTTTAGCCTGTTTATATTTTATACAATGAACTTCCAGGTTATATTGAACATTTAGCATGAAATATTGAAACAATGAACAAGCTAAGAAATGTATATTACAAGATCCTAGTCAAACACTTTGGGCAAGACAAGAAAGACGAAATCTCATCATCGTTTAAGTTTCATGAATACTTCTCAGCTGTTGCATACAGTCTAAAAGTGTGATGGTTATTAATATGTATGATACCTCGACATTAAGAAATCAGTAATCTTAAGTTATACAACGAATTCATTAGTAATCCATATAACAGACTGAAAGCGTTTCATAACGATCGCTTCCACGTATTGCAATGATCCAGACATTTTCTGTATGTTAATTCCCTTAAAAGCACCTCGAAGTTCCAAGTTGATATCCTGTCTGGCAATTGCACTGGTTAAAATTTTGCTTACTTTCAAGCACAGATTCTTAAGAATATGCTCAGTGAACTGAATAGACGCCCTCTTACTCTCAGTTCTCCCAGAATACTCATTACCGCAAGTGAATATGAAGTCACAAATGCAGTTGGAGGTAACACAAGGGGGGTTTAACAAACATGCAGTATTGTATACTGATACAATTGTAGCTGCTGGAAAGCTCCTTTGATTCTTGTATCAATTCGCTTGGATACTGCATCTTCCTTGAATGTAAGGTGTATAAAAATCCCTCTCTTTTCTACAGTTGGGTGATTACTTCTCTCGACGTGTTCCTTTTCATAACTTCATAGTAAATGTTAGTGATGAATCGTGACTAGCAGTGGAATCCAGCATGCGTGTTTCGTCCTATTTGGGACTCGTCACCTGGATGTACCTGTTTCCCAGTGAGTGGGAACAACATCACTCACCGGGAAGCAGATACATCCAACTGACGAGTCCCAAATAGGAAGAGATGCGCATCCTGGATTCCACTGCTAGCCCCTATCCATCATTACTACCGTTAGAGCACCGGTAATATCGAGGCATCCGCACAGGAACCCATATGCCAATACAGACCAATCAATTCGGTTCAATCAACGACGGTATGATATAAAAACACAACTATACTACAATCAGTTTCTTAGCTTACAAACCAGTGAACCGGATAAAGTTACTACACTTCACAGCTAAATACTAAGAAGAAGTCGATGGGAAACAAATGACATTGAAGTAGACTAAAACTGTATAAACAACAAGATGATAAGTGACTGGAGGTCAGTAAAGTTTCGATAATAATAATGATGATGGAAAAGGTTAATATGTGCAGCATCCTCATATGTTTTTAGTGATTTCTCAGGAAATTTCAAACCATTGATGATTTTCACCATGAAAGTTCCAACCAAATGGCGTACACCTTCTTACACAACTTAAAATATCAATTACATACCTCATCAGATCATGTCAGGTATTGATTTCTCAGTTGCCTGCTTTCTTCTTGCCTAATCCTACTTTGGTTGATAGATACCTGTTGGTTAAGCTGTGAAAAGGGTTGGCTTTTGCAGTGTTGTGTAATGCATAAACTACAACTCCACACCTGTCTAGTCTATCTAAGATTATTGAATTATTCTAGCTGAAATAAACTGTCTTCTGACAGATAATTAAATCTAAATGAACAAGGGTCAAATTAACCACCATAATCAAGCATCTGAACATCAATGTTTCCTCATAGAAATTCTATTATTACCGTGGAGTTGTGACTCAGTGGTTTAAGGAGATGACTACCAACCATTGGAGCACGGATTCAACCAACGCTTCACATACCGAGATTTAGGCCGAAAGAAAGTATCACTTATATATTATTATCATTATTTGTCCCTTGGATTCCTAATGGAACATACGGATTCAGTAGCACGTCTCCATTACACTCTCTTCTCTGCAATCTTTTCAACCTGGTTCCATGACAGCCCACCAACTCTCATTTCCTCCTCACACCATCTCCTCCATGTCACCGTCGCCTCCAACGCCCAACACGTCGCTTCCCATCTGGGTTCCACTCCAGCAACTGGCCTGATGCGTGGTGTCCCAAGTCGGCCTTCTCAGTGTATGCCCAATCCAATCCAATCCAATCCATCTCCACTCCCTTCCACTGCATATTTCTTCAACAATAGCTTCCTGCTTCGTTGGTTCGTCACCACTCAGTCAGAGTTCCTTGTTGCTTATTCTTATTATTCTCGCCATCTGATCTCCATCTTCACTATCGAGTCAGCATAGGTGGCAGTTGTTGATGAATATCTGTAGTTTGTTGGAAATGCTTTTCGTAACGTGCCAACTCTCTCAACTATCACATAGAAGCACTGACTTGACACGTGTCGAAAATCTGGATGTTGTTCACACCTTACGTTGAGTGCAGTGAAGCAGATCTCCACACTGGTTTCAGGTTAACGAACACCTGTCTTGCTTTTCCAATCCTGGCCTAGACGTCCTAGTCTGTGTCGCTGCCTGTAGTTGAAACAGTGCTGCCTAGGTAGGTGAAGGAGGTTACTTCCTTCAAGTTTCTCCCGTTGATAGTGATTGGAACTTGTTGTTGTTGGCGGTGGTTGAGTATCTTCATCACCTCTATCTGCTCTACGTTCACTTGAAGTCTCGTCTTCCTTCTCTGCCCTGCCTCTTCTGTCAACTTGTCAGTTTTCGCCTGTAGATCTTCGAGTTTGTGTGACATCAGATATAAGTCATCGGCGAAATCCAGATCTTCTAGGTTCTTTTCCCGGTCCAGCCAGCGTATCCCCCTCTTCTCGCTCCTCACGGTTTGTTGCATGATCCAGTCCACTACAGTTAGACAGCCTTGTTTTACTCCTGTCTTCACTTCAAAAGCATCACTGAGTTTCCCATTGTGAATTACTTGGCATGTGGCGTCTTCATATAGTTGTTGAATGAGATTGATAAAGGTTTATGATATTCCATAGTGTTGAAGTATCACTAGACCTCACATAATAAGTGTGGCTGATTGCTTACTACACTAACCCACACAAGGTAGCCAAGTGGGTTGTCTTTCACAGTAGGTATAGATTGTTATTGTGTAACTTGCTTACAATTCCATTGAGTTTTGTACTTACTACCCATCTGTTCTAGATTTATTCAGAAGTAGGTATTAAATGCCAAGTGACTTCATCAGTATTCATTAGCAGTATGCAGTCTAAAACTACATTGGTTATTCTAAAAAGTTATAATGATCAAATATTATGGACTATTATGTGATACTACATCAGTAGAGAATTTCAGACATAAGGAAAATCAGTCAACTTCAGCTGCACACCAAAATCATTTGCTAATTTATACTATCTGTAATCATCAAAACTTGAACGCATTGGCTCATACCTATTGTTTGAGGGTGGCTAATGATATTACCTAGCTGCCTAAACCTCGGTAGGTAGAGCGTAGTTCGAACCCATGATCCACTGATTGAAAGTCAACTCCTCAAACTAATATAACAGAAGTTTCAGGAGTTGTACAGAAGCGGTAAGGAAAAGAGCCAATTAATACTAGCTATGAGATTACGTAACATGTCGAGAAATGACACCTATGAGATTGTAATCCACGAGGTGCAGATATATAACATCAAGTTGATACCTTGAGTGTCCTTAAAAGAATAAATGCACAGAAAATGCTTGTACTGTGACGTTTCATCCTCCAGTATTATGCAAACTTCTCAAAGCTCTGACCTACTTTGTAGTCTACTTGCTGGCTAGCAGAGGAATCCAGAAAACACGTTTTGTCTTATCTCAGACTCGTGAGTGAGATTGTTCCCATGGGGACTCGGACCCAGAACACATCGCTTCCGTATCCCAGTAGCGTTTGAGGCGGTGGGTACTGGGTTCGAGCCTCGGTGGGAACAACATCACCTACTGGAATGCAGGTACATCCAGCTGATGAGTTCCAAAGAGAACGAAATACGTGTCTAGGATTTCACTCTTAACCAACAGAATGAGTATCTGGACAGTAATAAGGCCTCCATATAGAAACCCATCTGCGATCAGAGATCGAGCAATTCTATCTAGTATGGGAATGGGAAACGACGGGACCCATTTTGTTTGTCTGGGCGCTTGTTTACATTGTGATGCTATTCTCAACATTCATATTACCCTTTAAACTTTAATATAGTAGTTTGAAGTATGTGACTGCACAGTTTTCTCGTGATAATCATTTAAATTTCAGACTGTATGCAGCTGATGAATACTCGGGAAGTGAGTTCATGGAAAATCTAGTCATTATTGCTTTGTCTAAATAAAACACTTACGCCATGTGTGTTTTGTCTATTCACCTCAGTGGTATTCTTACACCTGGTTGGTTTTTTCAACACTAAATTAGTATACCGATGAAGTTTATTCCCATATTTTGATGGTCTTGCTTTCCCTGAGATGAATGTTTTGAGTGTGAAGCTTTCATTGTCTACGTAGACACCATTATCAGCTCTGTAAGGAATTCAAATTGAGTGATTCAGCAGCCGGTCAAAATGAAGTTGTGTCACTCGTCTTTCCTCGTGATTGTCTTGCCACTGACTGCATAAGAGCTTTTACTATTGGCCATTTCTATGACCAACGTCTGACCTCCTACTTGCTCATCATTTTTCTTATTGGTTGATAGATTAGGTCTGTCATACACCGAAGGATTACTGATTGGTCCTAGTGCCAGGCGTCTAGAATATCTATCGTACTAGGTTTTATTGAATGTATTGTTCAATCTAGGGAACTCTAGTTAACAATGAACAAATTGGTTGCAGAGTAATTGCATCGGATGATGTGAATACTGTTATAATATTAACTGTTTGTAATGGCTTAGCTAAATGATTCCGCCGATTCACTTTCAATGCTGACCTTGAACCTGATTGGTCTCGAATATACCTGCCCAGTCTACTACACTCAATCCACCCACATAATGAATCATGCACACGGAGTCTGGCAGTTAGTGTTCGTATATTTCATGTGATCTGACTCATCCATACATACAAGTAAATTAAATGACCACAATACATCATAATTCTGAAAGATG